AATTGCGATACGCATTCATAGAAAGAAACAATGAAGGAAAAACTTCGCAAGGCATTCCACGAAAAACGTCTTGGTCTACCTCAATCCGATCCTAGTGTTCCTCTATTTGTAGATCACAGGGAGGAGTCCTTTGGTGATCATAAGAATTTAGGCGAAGATAAGTTGCATAAGAATGCGCAATCACCTACAGAACAGGCAGTGGAAAATATTTCTTTGGGTACTCAAAACATAGTCATTGGAAGCGCTCTAAAACGTGGTCCGGACGGAGAACTTATAATGCCTGTAACGAAAAAAAAGAAAGTAAAGAATTCAAAAATAAAGCAGGTGAAGTTAGAAATCAAGAAATCCAAAATAGTTGAATGTTCAAAGCCGATGGATTCAAGAAATCTTAAAAAAACATTGTGTGGTTCACAGTAATTTAGGAAAAACTCGAGCTGAATAGAAATTTTCTCCACGAGATATCTGGAATTAATATGTTTAACGTCCATTAAACATTTGAAATAAAATAAATAAATTTTATTTTTGTAAAAAAAAAAAAATGCACCTTTTATCATGGTCTGCATTACTGTGATCGATTAACAATTCTTTGAGCTTTTTAGATCGCACCATCAATTTTACAACATCATTCATGAAATTTACTAGATCATCGTCGCTATTAATGTACCAGTTGAATATATAATCTACAAAATTGGTGGATGGAAAAAATTCTGTTTGGTGTTATTAATTAGGCATCAATAAAATATATAAAGAGAATTATATTGCTTACTCACCTTTGCATAAGGACATTGTTTCGTGTGTCACGTGACCTATCTTCTCGGGAGAGATGGAGTATTCTGTTGCTTCATTCAAAATCAGAATATCAGCCAACGAGATGAAGGATGTGAGGTAAATGTTTGTCAGCTTTTTAATTGCTTCTAAACTTAAACTGAACTCCAGTCCGCAGCTATCCCGATAATATTCATGAAATATAAATTCGGTGTAATTAATGTCTGGTTTAAGTAATTTCCTAAGACGGTCTCTCTCCGGGCTGGTCTTTATTCTTTGTGTGTAATTAAGGATGCCGGAAAGGCTCTCAATTATCTAGAATCATATAACTTATAAGGTCCCATTCTACAACACTTCTCCGTGAATCTTAATTCCTATTCGCTTACCACTCCAATATTCTTACCCGATTCTACAGCTAGATGTAAAATATTCAAAACTTTTCTATTTATTTGTTGATACTTATGGTTTAATAAAGAAATAACCTGAAGACAATTTGAAAATTAAATAATGCAATAATAATCGTAATTATCCTTCGTACCGATCAAGTAAAGTTTACTTACATACGACATGTTAAAGTTGATTTCTTGCGATAGACACCCGATCGTATCCGCAAATCCATCATCTCTTTCCAAGAAAACAACACTCTTTTCTAATTTCTTTATGTCTGTAAATATTGAAAGAATTGAGACGGGAATTCGGTAGCAGCAATCTGAATTCATCTACTACAACCAATCATTAGTTAAAGTCAAAAAATGAAACAAGAAACTATTACGTCAGCATACCTGAAGGGTCATTTTCTTAACAACGAGTTGATCATTCAACAAACTTAATAATCGGCTTCCAGCATGTCGGTTCAAATCCTTTTCCTGGTCGGCGTCACGCAGAGAAAGATTTTTTCGAAAATCCTTTAAAACTTGATGAAATATTTCCAGAATCGCTTCCAGAGTTCGTACATTATT